ATGGAGGTTTCTGAACCCATATTTATTAAATCGATAATACACATTATTAGACATATAACATCACATATTCATGTGTGTGTATATACACACATACAAAAAGGTTTAGGTATATTCCGTCACTTGAAATATATTTACAACCAAATACAAAAACAAGTGAGCAGGTTCTATACTTTTGAGCCTCCATTTTCGCAAGTGTGAAAACACAGGTAGACAGAATGCTCTTTGCACCACAACCACCTTAGTTATGTGGTGGGCTGGACAAGATGAGCAGACCCTGTCTGTGCACTATGAAATAATAACTGAGCTTCCCCAGGGCACTGACTTTCAAACAAAGGAGGCACTTATGGTTTAGAGGAATCTCCTATCATCATTCATTTTTTTTCTTTTTTGTGAGGAAGATTAGCCCTGAGCTAACATCTGATGCCAATCCTCCTCTTTTTGCTGAGGAAGATTGGCCCTGGGCTAATATCCATGCCCATCTTCCTCTACTTTATATGGGATGCCGCCACAGCATGGCTTAACAAGTGGTGCATCAGTGCGTGCCTGGGATCTGAACCTGCGAACCCCGGGCCGCCGAAGCAGAGCCGTGCACTTAATCGCTATGCCACCGGACTGGCCCCTCATCATTCAGTTTTTACATCAACTCTGGTATTAAAATATTTTTTTTGAAAAAGTCTTTTTTTTCCTGTTAAAACTCCATCCCACCAATGGGGAAGTGTGTTAATGGCACACTTCCACTTGCTCAGACTGGACACAAAACTACACACTGATGTTATTCTAGTTCCTGTAGACGTGATTCCTGAAAAGTGTGATCTGCCACGACTGAGCCCCACCGTTACTAAGATCCCGAACAGTGCCCTGCACACAGTAGTCCCTCAACACATTTTTGTTAAGTGAATATATCTAAAAACGACTCCCCTCTTCCTAAAATTATACATTCCTTTTTCTAAAAGATGCTAGTTCCTGTTTAAATAGAACGAAATTGATCTCTTCTGGAAGCCACATTTGGCAGCGAGTTTTCTGGCTGGTGAGAGGAAGCTCGAGCCCAGACACTGCAGCTAGAGCGGCAATGCCTAGTTCCCAACAAGAATGGCAAACAGTGACTGTGTGTCCATGTGTTCAACCATTCGTCCACCTATCCATCTGGTCAGGTAAATCCTGGCCACGATTTGGATTCACCCAGCAGACAATATCCTTTCTCTGGAGGACCACTGACACAAAACTGTCTGAAAGACGTTAACATTCCTACCTTAACTAATTTGGCAGAACAAAACAAGTTCATAAACCAACCTACGGGTTGGTTGTCCAACGTACATGCTTAGCAAAAAATATGAAGTGCATGAAGTACTGAGAGACAATAAGCCTTTCTCTGATATCCTTAAATTTTTTTTCTGTTGAAATCTACGACACTCTAGGTGACTTACGACGTGAGACACTCCTGCTGCAGAGCTTGTACAGAGGGGCTGGGAAGGATGACAGGAGAGGCAAAAGTGAACAAAATGTAAGCACTGGCACCTCCCCCCCTTTTCAGGAACCATGGCATTCAACAAGTGTGTTAAATGAGCCACTACCATATGCTCAACCCTGTAAAGCATGTGGAGATGACAAAACACACTCTTGATCGCTTTAAATCTCGTAAAGGAGTCCGGGGGTGTGAGCATCCCAAGTGGCACAGCATGGGGCCCCGCACTAGGCTAAACATGGGGTGTCAGGCATTTGGAGGAGAGAGCAATCATGCGAGATAAGGGAAGGCTTCCAGAAGAGGGGCATGCTAACTGGGCTCTGAAGTCAGGGAGCATTAACAAGTGCATGAGAGACAGCCAGGGAAGAAGAGGGGCGCTGTCAAAAACTTGGGAGAATCTAGACCAGGGGTTCTCACAGTGTGGACATGGGCAAGCAGCATCGGCATCCTCTGAGAGCTTGTTAGAAATGTAAATTCCCAGGCCCACCCCAGACCTACTGAGTCAGCAACTGTGGGGCTGGGGGCCAGCAATCTGTTTGAACAAGTTCTCCAGGTGATTCCAAGGCACACTCAAGGTTGAGAACCACTGAGTTAGAGCAGGCACTGTCCTCCCTTCACCTGGCTGAGCAAGTGGCCATAGCAGATACTGGTTCTTCAAATGCTCCCAACCTTGCCCAGGCCTGCCACTTCCTAGGATTGTCAGGAATGAAGCCTGGGGCTTTCCTCTCCCTCTCCCTTTCTGCAAACCAGCGCCCTGAGGGCTGGGCAGCCACAGAGGTTGTGGGAGGAAGGGGAGGCCGGGGGCTGCCCACTTTCTTCCAGGCTGCTCAGAAGCCACACACAAAGTGAAGAACAGTTACATTTCCCACTGGCTTCTGTACAAACCCCTCTCATGCATCTTCCTCAGTGGGCCATACTTCTAATTGACAACTGGATGTTGGGAGAGCTGGAGGCAGAGAAGAGCCAAGCAGAGGCGGGAGGTAAATGGGGCCTCCGTGAGCCCAGAGGTCGGCAGTTATAATTTGCTTCCCCCTTGTGTGCAGATCTAATTGATGGCTCACCAAGCCTGCACCTATCCCATAACGAGAGGGTTGAGAGCAACCTTTGGAGGCAAAGAAGCCATCTGAATTCCACTTCTCTTCGGATTAGAGAAGAGAGAGCAGCAGGAACATTCTAGAAAGTGTTATTGACTTAACCAAAATGTCTGTAGTCCCTGGAAGACTAACAGAATTTGGCAAAGCGTGGCTTCTGTTCTCCTTTCACCCGCCACAAAGTGAAGTGCAACCTTTGCTGCTCCGTTCTCCCTGTTTGCGTAGCTCATTTTCTCTTCAGAAGCACTTAGGTTTACATGACCTATTTCTTCTGAAGTGCTAGCTTCTGGGCTGACCACGCTACTGAAGTGGCCCTTGCTAAGGTCATCAGGGCTGTCAAGTGACCCTGTCATGCGCATGTGCAAATAGCCTTCTGCTATCAATCAGCAGAAGAGGGAGCAACATGTAGGGACCTGAACAATGCAACAGCCGCCCGGGTCCCATTTGTTTCCCCAGGGACTGTCATATGGAGGCAGTTGTTTGATTGGACCTCGGGAAACACCTGCAGGATGACACAGGTGAACCAGCTACTGCTCCGATGGGCTCACATGTGCCTGAGCTAACCACAGCTGTGTGCTCTGCCAGGCAGCCAGCCTTCTGCACACGAGCATCTGTGCGTCCACAATGGCCGGCTGAGATTCTGACATCTCTCAGCCACTCACATGGCTACCTGCCTCTATATTTGGGCAGGGGTGTGTTGTGTTTTGTAGTAGGCATTATTAAAAGTAAATGAATCATGTTACAACATGGATGAACCTTGGGGACATCAGACTAAGTGAAATAATCCAGTCACAAAAGGACAAATACTGTATGATTCCACTTATATAAGGTACCTAGAATAGTCAGATTCATAGAGACAGAAAGTAGAAGGGTGGTTGCCAGGGGCTAGGGGGAGGAGAAATGGGAGTTAGTGTTTAAAGGGTACAGAATTTCCATTTTGCAAGATGAAAAGAGTTCTGGGGTAGGGCCGGCCCCGTGGCTTGGTGGTTAAGTGCGCGCGCTCCGATGCTGGTGGCCCGGGTTCGGATCCCGGGCGCGCACCGAGGCACCACTTCTCCGTCCATCCTGAGGCCGAGTCCCACATACAGCAACTAGAAGGATGTGCAGCTATGACATACAACTATCTACTGGGGCTTTGGGGGGAAAAAATAAATAAATAAAATCTTTAAAAAAAAAAGAGTTCTGGGGTAGATGGTGGTGATGGTGGCAGAACAATGTCAATGTAGTTAATGCCACTTCATGTATACCTACAAATGATTAAGGTGGTAAATTTTATATTATATGTATTTTACCACAATTTAAAAAAAATTTCTAAAAATTAAATGAGCTGTTCTTGTCTTACTGCAGTATGTCCAGTTTGATAGGTGATAATGAAAATGACAATGAAAGCAACGTTGATTTACAGGCATGAGGCTACATACTTGGGAATTATCCCAGTCCTTCCTTTTAGGTGCATTCCATTATCATCCTCAGTTTACAGATGGATAAAGTGAGGTGAAAGGGGCAGTGACTTGCCAAGGCTGGCACTCCTCCTATGAGTGGGGTGAGATGTGACCCCAGAAGCCTATCTGACTCCAACTCAAGGGCACTGAAGCCCCACGTGACTCTCACCATGCAAACTTAGCTCAAAGGAACAAAAATCCAGTGAGTGACTGTGTGTTGACAGGTACACATAAAGACCTCCATGTCATTGACTTGCTCTGGTGTATTAGTAAGATGCATAATATACATGTAATGGCACAAAGTTCTGGCAATGAACTTGTGGAGAGAACTTGACAGTTCCTTGCTCTGTGGTGGGCATCTCAGGCCTAGAAGGCACAATGTCCATCTCTGATTTCACATTACTAATACATTCATCTAGTCAGCCTGTGAGCAAATCTGAGTTTTGCCAGGCACATCTCAGAACGAGTGCCTGAAAAAGCACGTCCCTTGCCTTTGAGGGTCAGAGTTCAGAGACATGTACACTCAGACAATATTTGCCATGCCGGGTCCTGTATTCCACAAAAGACCTGTACAGTCAAGGGCAGAGAGAGCCTGGGAGTGTGGAAGGAGGCACCAGAGAGCAGGGAGAGGGTCAGGGGACGGCGCTGCCAGTGAGACATGCATACCCGAGGCCAGGACACCCAGGGGATGAAGGTGGGCATGCCACCCGAATTTCCACTCTGAATGGCAGCTGGCCTTGCTCTAATGGAGCACAGGGAAAAGCCGTGCGTGTGAGCAGCACCTAGATGCTGGGTCCCTGATCCTCATCTGCTAATCCTGGAACCCACACTGTACCTCCCAGCCTTGTACTCACTTCTGCCCAAGCACGGGAGCAAGGACTGAAGTGGCTGGAGTCCTCAGACAGCATTGCTAGAAGGTGGAAGAGGGCAGCTTTATACCTCCTCCCTCAGCTGGCTGCACTCAAGGCCCCTCACCCACCCCCAGCATCAAGAGCAGAGCAGTACCTGGTGTGGGTCAGGGGACCCACTGGTCGTTCAGGCCTCCTCGGGGGCAGTGCGCCTGGTCTGCTGAGAGAATTGGTCTTGGGTGGCCGTGGCTTTTTTGGTGGTATGGCAGGAACAGAAGGCTTCTGTAAATCCAGTTTTGGCTCTCTCTCTGGTCTTTCTTTAAGTCATCGTTCAAAAAAGCATAAAGATGACAGACAGATCTAGTGTAAGTGACAGTACTTAGGTGCAGATCGCTTGTTTCCTGCTTAAAAAAAATCTCTGATGCCACTTGTGAAGGTGAAGTTGGAAGGTGAAGAGCATCATTTATTCTTTGTCAAGTTAGAAAGAGCCCTACAGAGCCGCAGCTCACTGTTCACCTTTGCTCATGCTGGTCCCTCTGCCTGGAAGGCCCTTCCAGCCACTGCCCATCCTCGGCAAACTCCTACTTGTCCTTCATCAGGCCTACTCATCAGGCCTGGCCGAAATGTGACACCATCACGGTCCCTTCTCAACAGCTGGACCCACCCTCAAAGGCAGACTTTCTCACATCGTCATCTGAGCCGTGAAGGACAGCCCTTTATAAACAGGCTCCACTTGGATGCTTTCTGGATGTCTGCCCACTTGGCACAGCCTGTGGGCTGTCAGCCCCCAAGGGCAGGGCCCACGTCTGGTCATCTCCCTGGAACCCTGCATGGTGCCTGGCACACAGCAAGTGCTCAGTAAATGGTTGAGGTTTGGTAAATGACCCACAGGACCTGCCGGGTGTGGGGAGGAAAGAGGCCTGACACCTCTCAGGTTGACCTGTGTAAAGGGCCAGGAGACAAAAAAAGGGGGAGCATTTCAGGGAACAATCACCAGTTCTAAATCCCTTTTGTGCACAATTTGAACTTGGAAGGTAAACTGGGACTTCATAGGTATTTGGTTTCCAAGGGTTTTTGGAGTCAGAGCTATTAGAATGAAGTTAAAGCCAGATCTGGTGGCCCAACTGGGTAGCATTCAGTGACAGCTTCATGTTTTCTGTCCCCAATTAGCCTTGCCCCGTGCGTGGTGTAAAAAGCATGCATCCACCTTCTTCTTTATAAAGATGGAACTTCACAGAGTTGCCCACCGGAGAACAGCAGGTTCCTATGTTCATTTGTGAGCTGGAACTTTGAACACATTTCACTTGCAAACATAAACTCATATTGTTTGGGTGCCCAGGCCAGTTGGCAAAGCTTTAAAAAGCCCATCAAGTATTGTACAGGTATCACTGTGCTCATCCCCGTAATATTTTGGTAGGGGAATATGCTCCACCCAGGAATGCTGGGAACTCATTTACCAGTCCACAGGGAGCAGAGGAGGAAAGGCTCAGCTGAAATGCAAAGGAGGGGAGATTCCTCCTGCTAGGAGGGACGGGAGCCCCAGCAGCCTGCAGAACGGATGGGAGAGGGGGTTCGTGCCCACCTAACAGGGAGGATAAGACAGGGTGGGGCTGGTTCGCTGGTGTCCCTGTTGCTTTTGATAAGGGCTTCAACTTTCCTCACCCACTGTGGCACAGAACAAGGAATCATGGGAAGGGAAGGAACCAGAAGTGTGTGGCCACTTGGCCAGCCAACTAGGGTGGTTGTTCACACGTAAGCCAACTCCATATGTGAGTCAGCATGAAACAGAGCAGGAAGTGTCCTCATCACAGAGCCTGGCTATTAGCCAGAAACTAGTCATGTGTCCCCCATGAAGACGGGGGGGCAGTATTTGGTTATGTCACTACACACACTTTTATCAAAGAGCTATTGGTATGGTACATACTCAATGGCTATTTTTTCATTGATCTGTGACACAGACCTGGCCTTCACAATGAGGTTCCACAACTCAAGTTTTAACTGTTCACTGTGAAAGAAAGAGGTGTAACTTCTTAAGAGCTTCCAATCTTGGTAAAACTTTTGGCAGGCTGATATAAAATATTAAATTTCACAGTAAAATTTCATGAGGCCACCCAGGAGCACCTCCAAATCATTACATTCATTAATTCAGCATTTCTCTTGTGACTTACAAATAACTGCTTTTTAAAATGGAATTTGCTCTGCCTTCTGTTCATAATAATAACATAGCACTTTCCTCATAAAATGTGTCATCCATCATATCTTAGACATCTAATAAAATGAGTCCTTCCACAGCCTGCAAATTTCTTTGGGAGAGACACCCAGAATGGTAGGAGTCGCATTTGTGAAATGGACTGAGTGAGATGTGTTAAGCCACTTCCCTGCAAATGACATTTCTGTCCACCTTCAGGGGACTGTAGGCACTGAGCTGCTTTTCCCAGTTTTGCCATGTCCCCTCGCCCCCAACATTCTTGACCCAGGACATGTGTCTATAATATAGTAGCCAGAGTCAAGGGTCCAAGCAGTGACTGAGAAATAGAGCTTTCATTTGCCTAGATGGGAATTTCTCTAAGCCACGTCCATCTGTGATCAGTTAATGAGCACCCTGGGGCACTAGGCACGGGAGAGGGCAGGATGGAAACTGTGGCAGACATATCCGGGCCCTCAAGGAGCTTAGTCGGCACCTCGACTTCAGGATGCTGCTGATGAGGAAGGGCAGTGATGACAGGAAGATTGGGACGGAAGAGCCCCAATGTGTTAAGTGACTGGGCTGGTTGTTTTTCATTTGATGAGAAATTCTGGCCAAAAGAAGTGCCATATAACCTTCTCTCCTATTTCCTTATAAACAGGATATTTAAAAGCAATCGAAACGAAACCATAATCACCATATTCCAAAGGAAAAGCAAATTCTGTGGGTAATGCAGACTAGCCCTGTGACAGACAGCTTCATCTCTTGCTTTCTAGAAGTGCCAATGAAGACATGATTTCATACCTTTTTCTTCTGTTCTGTTTGGCAGCGTTTCTGGTCTTTCAGGAGGTATCTTTTTAATTTCATGTTTTCTCTCAGAGGTACCTAGGTGGGAAAGGATAACAGTCATCAGAACATGTTTTCTCTATGCATTTAAAGACATACCAGCATTTCAAATATTTATCAGGTACAGCAAAGTCAACAGATTTTTTTTTCCTAAACTGGGTGCTGGTGTTACCTAGCAAACATAAGCTGCTTAGAAACAGAGCAGAAGCCATTTCTGGCCTATGTCATTAAGTATACCTGCCTATATATCCTTAATTTACAAGAACACCACTAACATTTTCTGATATTTAAATCTGACTTCCTTGGGCATCAAAACAGTCACAGGAAATCACTAGGTCTGGGTGGAGAATGTGGCTAAATAAACAAGTCAGTCATTAAAATATGCAAATAAGGAGTCACGGGATATCGTGCTCTACAAATAAAAAGGAATTTCACAGGGACCTGGATTCCATTTTGTAGCAGTTTTAAAATATGGCCTCAAATTGTTTGCTACCCCTTCCATTAAGAGTTGAGGCTTATGCTCCCTTGCCTGGAATGTGGGTGGGCTCGTGACTGCTCCAACCAGTGTTCAGTGTGACATCATATAATTTCCCAGGCTAGGTGATAAAAGGTCATGTAGCTTATGGGCATTTTTTTGCTGGAATATTGAACCTCCATGTAAGAAGCCGACTACCCTGAGGCCACCATGCTGGAGGCCATGTGTAGATGCTCCAGCAGACAGCCCCAGCTGAGCCCAGGCTTCCAGCTACCCCTGCACCAAGGGGAGCCAGACACGAGAGTGAAGCAGTCATCTTCGAAGTAGATCCTCCAGCCTCAGCTGGTCCAGCATTCCCAGCTGAGGTCCTTGGCATCATGGAACAAAGAGACAAGACATCCCAGCTATGCCCTGTTCAAATTCTTGACCCACAGAATCTGTGGGCATAAGAAGAGTGTTGCTTTACGCCACCAAATTTGGGGCAGTTTGTTAGGCAGTGATAGTAACTAGAACATATTTTTAAGTGGAGGGATGTACAGAGAGGATACAGTGGATCTCCCTAAGTCCTTTCTATTGGCATCTGAATTCCTCAAGTATTATCCTTTTCCAAATGTGCCAATTAGCACTTCCTCTTTACCCATGTGGACTGCAGCTGCTCTGTCACCTGGGGTCTTCATCAGTGCCAGTGGCCTCAGAGCACTTGGAAAAGAGCTAAAGCACAAAACCTATCCCAAGTCCTCCTCTGATTTATGGACTTGGTTGAGTGCTTGACAGACTCTTTACCTGACCAGCCCTACAGATGGGGGCTTGCTACTGAAATCTCAATTACACAGCATCAGAGGCCAAAAGAACTTTAAAAAAACCCACTGAACACACACTTTACCTAAATCTTAATGACTCACTACAAATTAAACACTGTACCTGATTTCTGTCAATGCCATCTCTGATTTTTTTTTGTCAAATAATCAAACACAAGGAAAGTTAATGATGGGGAAAATGTGAATATCCACTTCCCCGTCACAAAGCAGTTCCCAAGATCATTCAGTAGGATAAATGAGCAGTAGCAGTAATCTAGGAAGATTAAATGCCATCTTGCTTTACCCCACAGAGATTCAGCATAACCTGTGGTAAAGTTGTTTTAAAAGGATAAGAATTTGCCTACCATGCTACAATCTAGTCTCCTAATGATAGTGAAGAAGTTCAGAATCATTCCTGAGACACAGAAGAAATTGACAATCCTACTATCACGAAGAATCCCATCCTAGCTACATTTTAGGCTACCTGAGCCTTGGACCATTCGATTCCTCTCCTCGGTCTCTAATTGTTCACCAAGGCCTCTAGGGAAAAGAGTCTTCAGAGAAAAGAAAATAAATATCCAGCTTTAATTTCAGCACAATAAGATATTTATCTGGCCAGAACCACTAGGTGGCAAAATTAAACTGCTCAATGCAAACAAGGATGGGGGCGGAGCAGAAGATGTAATTAACATCCTATTTCAGGGCTTAATCTCTATAATTCTCAACTATGCTGAAGGGAATGGGAAAGGAATTTAGGGTCAAGCTGATTTCCCCCCAACTTGTTGGGCCAAAAGAACTTTAGAAAAATCACTCCTTAATAAATCTGTGAATAAACCAATCTGGAAATTTATTCATACTATATATGTTACAGAAAATATCATAATTATGAATGTGCAGAACTAAAAATACCCCTACTCTTCTTCTGTTTCAGTTGTTAATTTTTTAAAAATGCCACTTAACTAGTTATTCATAGAGGAATTTCTCCCCACAATTGGTTTTTGACAAGTCTAAAGAGGAGTTCTATCGGGACATATGAATTGTCATCTTTGTATATGAGAATCCAGTGTGCAGTGAGTTACCAATTGTCCAACATCAATTCTTCCTATATTGTTCAACCTTAATCTGAACTACACATAAAAAGTGAACTGGACTCTTTTCCACATTAAAAAAGAATCATGAGGAAAAGTATCGCTAGAAAAACATTTTTTTGTTAGAGGGTAAGTGAAGTAACTACAAATTTTGGTTAACCACATGGGACAGACAGTGAAAATTCAGCACGGCTATACATGCATGGTGATGTTATGCCCCGTGGGAAGCAATCCTCCCCAAGCTGACCTTCGATCAGGCAGGCGCAGGCGAGGAAGGACAATTAGTTCTTCTCTCCTCAAAAGTGGTTTATTAAGAAAATAAAAACAAAGCAAACAAAACTGGTTTATTCCAAAGCAAAGTCTTTCAGGTCATTCTCTTTGGGAGGCTGGATTTTTTTGCTGTATCAAGGATACTTTTTAATGATATGTTTATTTTTTAGGAAAAACAGCAGTATATTTAAAACCTGCCTGTTGAGACCAAATCGTAACTTCCCCATTTGGCAATCTGTGGCATTTGAATCTAAGAATCTTGAGCTCTCCCAAGAAGGCTGTAAATATATGCAAAGAGAGAGATGCACATCTCGTTTACAGAACTGAAAGGTACATTACCTGCCCCTTGCTTGATAACAGGAGCGGATGGAGGAGGTGGCTTCTTGGGTCTCTGAAAAATTAATCAAAATGACACCATATGAGATTGTTGGCAAGCCTAGCCTCTCACATAAGGACCACAGACATTGTTTTCTAGATGTAGTTTGGACAGGCCAGAGAAGCGCTCCAAAAAATTGAGCAATTCTCTCTCCAGGGACGTCAGATTTTGGCACCTTTAAACAAACACTAAAATAAATTCAGTCTGCAAAACAAAACACTGATGGACAAATGAAATACCATTTCCCCCTTTCTAAATTTGTAACAGCCTTTTGGAAAAGCAGGGCTCAGCAAAAACGGCCTGAAACCAGCAAGCACAATGGTACTCCTACGCTGAAACCGCATTTGCAATTAAGATTTAATCTGCTGAATAACCAAGCAATTCAGAAAGAGTTGCTGGGACGGCTCTAAATCGGATCTGCTCTGGATGTGGGGCCTTCAACAAAATGTAGGCTGAGGGGCCCCTGCAGCTGGGTAGGGTTCTAAGCCTTCTGCCTTTTTCACCCCGAGGCTGGCAGGACCCCCACAGACCAATTGTATCCTAGAAACTGGGATGGAGTTTTTTTGTGTATCAGCCACTATTTGTTTTTCTCTCACACCCTGTCACTCTTTAGGTGACAAGGCAGCAACGCAATCAATGGCATTCATCCCTGAACTGGTTCTAGGGCATCTTCTTGCTCACTCAGGATTGACTGTAGGAGGAAGATGGTCAGGCTGGACTTGGCAAATGATTCAGGAGCCGAGAATCCATCCAGGGCACAATTCTTGGACACCATTCTTGGACAAAGGAGAGGGTGACCAAAGGCAAGGAGAAAACCATCTCAGTATCAGAATCATTATGGAGATGGAAATGGGGAGGGTTTGAGCATATAATCCACGTCACTGCTGACAGTTCTCCTGGCCCTCTCTGGGCATCATATACTTGTGACTTTAAAAAAGCTTCATGAACCCTCCTTCTCCTGCACTCTGAAAACGTACCACTATGCCATTCCCGCAGAGACCAGCAAAAGTACCCACCCATCCCCGGCCCTGACCCACTGGTGCCCACCAGTGCCTGATGCAGTACCAGGGCACAGGAAGAAATGATTTTAAGTAAAACCCAGAGAATATGAGACCCACAAGGAACTTTCTCAGGGGGCATCACAGCATGTAGGCTCTGGATTCAGTGACATTTCAGCTCTGTTCTTTACTAGCCAGACGACTTGGCTGAGTTACCCCAAGTAAGTAGTGTAGCATGGTGGGCAAGAGTTGGGGTTTCAGAATCTGATGGTCACTACAAGTCCTGACTCTTTCAATTACTAACCATGGCCACTGGGCAAGTGATCTCACCCAGTAAACCTTCTCATCTGTAAAATGGCGATAATATTACCTCCCTCTTAGGAGGAGGCAGTTTCCTAAGCAGAGGGAGTCAGTAAGCACTGCATTGTTTAATTTTAAGCATGGTTTAATCCTCGTGACAACTCTATAGGTAGTGATATTATTATGCCCATTTTGCAGACGAAATAATTGAGGCTTCGAGAGATGAAGTAATTTCCCAAAGTCACCAGGCTATTAAATAGGGTGGGGGGCTGTCTGACCCACAGGCAAGTTCTTAACCACTGTGAAGGGTCCATCCTGCCAGAGAGAATCCACAAGACAAACTATCACGTGGCCGTAAACCACACACAGAGTTGACAAAAGCACAGGGAACTGTAATACGTTAAAGTTGGAAAAAAAAAAGGGTATCAAATTGCAGCTACAGTATGAGCTCAACTATGTTACAATATATACAAAGAAAAAGACTAGAGAGAAATTTATAGTGGTGATCTCTCACTAGTAGGATTATGGGTGTATATATGTATGTGTGTGTGCGTTTCTTAATATTTTTCTGCACTGTCTATATCAGTACAAACTTTATAATAAAAAAAAGAAGAAAGATGCTCTAAGGGGCACCTTGCCTTGCATACAGGCCCTCCACCGGAGGGATCTGTTTCTGGCTCACAGATCTTACACTACTCTTTTCCCTTTTGCCAGCCCCCTCTAGCTCTCCACCCCGACTCCTTCCTTTTTCTTCCTCCCTTCTCTGTCTTTGTATAAATTAGACCAGGGACAGATGTGTGTTTACCTAATGAAGTTATCGTTGAAACTCTGCCAATTAACCTTCCTTTACCTGAGGATCAGAATAATTTCTTATTCACAAAACTGCCAACATCCTGTGGCCTGATTCTTCCCAGCCAAGACTGAACAATGCCTACCCCGTGGATGTCTTCCTCACACACTGCTGGTTTGAACATTTTTATAACCAATTTCACATGAGCCTCCTCTTGCTGAGGCCGTTCCCCCAGCGACCTTGCCTCAAACCACAGGGTCCCAGATTAAAAAAGACAATTATAAGTCATCATATTTTCCAAGATTACCGTGCAAAGAAAGAAAACCCTTAGTGTTGTGTCAGATTTGGCATGTGGCAGACACATGAAATGTGACAGGGTGGAGCAGAGGGGCACTGAGAGAGAGAGGAAGGGAAGTGTTAACAGACAGCGTGTGAAAAGTGGTCATGGCAAGTGTGTGCTTGAATGTGGCAGAGAAAGGAGGCCGAGGTGTGAGGTTTTGTTGGGAGCCCTGGCAGTTGTGGAGGCAGGTGGGGCAGTGTGGAAAGGAAGGAACAGTTGGTGAGCTGTCTTGCATCCATCATGCTTGATCAACACTGGCCAGGTGCCTGCTTTGCTTAGTAGCAGAGTAGCTTTACAGGTTGTCCTGTTTTGTTTTGTTTTTCCTGGACTGACTTCACTCTCTGATTCCATCAGACTTAACCTTCCTGCCTCGTCAGATGAGAAATGACACCACATTTTCAAATAAGATGTTTTTTTTTTTTTTTGTGAGGAGGTCAGCCCTGTGCTAACATCTGCCAATCCTCCTCTTTTTTTGCTGAGGAAGACGGCCCTGGGCTAACATCTGTGCCCATCTTCCTCCACTTTATATGGGACGCCGCCACAGCATGGCTTGCCAAGCAGTGCGTCGGTGCGCGCCCGGGATCCGAACCAGCGAACCCCGGGCCGCCGCAGCGGAGCGCGTGCACTTAACCGCTTGCGCCACCGGGCCGGCCCCAAATAAGATGTTTTTTAAGGTAATTCTAAACAAAAATCAGGGCCAGGGTTCTCTGTAGCCCTAGATCGTCCCCCAAATGATTAATAAAGAATTGCACCTGAGCCTACAATGAATTTTTCTTTTAATGCAACAGGAAGACAGGGCAGTGAGAACTGAGAAGGCAGACTGGGTAAATCTGTAGCAAAATGTGACAGTAAAAAATTCATCATAGGAGTTCACGATTCTCAAATAAAAAGATGTAAGCTCATCACTTAGCTGATTTTCCCCCAAATGTCCAATTGTGACTGGATAAAGGAGACAGCACCGAGGAGACCTCCAGGTTAAGCAGTAGGTCAACACTTTCTCTATCGAGTTTACCAGCATTAACTAGCTCCTATAGATGTGCAGACAGAAACATCCTTTCAACTCAGGTGGGTATTTTAAGTCATGAATTTTTAAAGGCACTGGTTCTATTTATTCTCTTTATGCTTCCCTCCATGGTGAAAACAAAACACTCAAGCTTCAAACTCAGGTGGCTTCTGCCCGCTCAATTTGTAGGTTGATGCTAAAAACAGGACATTAGAGCTATGAATGATCATAGGGTCCCTTTACAGCTGAGCAAACTGAGGCCTAGAGGGGCCATGTCAACAGCTAGGTGGTAGCCAGTGTGGGCCCAGAACTCACATCTCTCAATGTCCAGGCCGTGGCAGTTCATTAAAGAAGAGCCAACATGAAAATGTTCATAACAAAATCAACGAGCCAACATTTTCTGATTTCTAGGACAGCAGAATGACTTCCATGGTCTTCACATATGCAGGGCACATAGGCCTGTGTGCACGTACGTATGTGTCTACCCGTGTGTACACTTGTTGGCTTAGACAGAGAAGCAAACGCTATCTTTCAAAAGGTATATTAACCAGATTTGATTTCTTATCATCAATACCAGGAAGGAAATAGATCTGAATATTCTGGAGTGCAGACAGCAGAAAGGCAAGTTTTACTTCCTGCTGAAGGATTTCAGAATTGACTCTGCCCTTTTTTTGGCATGTTTGGCCACTCCCAAGTGAAAAAAGCATGTCAGCTGGCTCAAGTGTCCTCCCTGGCAGGAATTCTGATTGGCCACTTGGCCACTTGAGCCAGTTTACCTTCAGAGCTCTGGTCCCAGACATGTGGTTTTTGAAAATAACTAGAGAAACATACTCCTGATGGTTGGGTACCCTTTACGGGGGCTTTGTTGAGGAACACGGTAAGGTTCTGGAAGCAAATTTTAGCTTGATTTTGAGCCTTGGGAAGCCCTCCTCCAGGCACCCAGCTAAGTTCTCTGGAGGTGTACATTCTCTGGTGTACGTTCTCTGGAGGCTGGAGAGGGGGCACAAATGGACAGTTCCTGACCAGGGCACCCCTCATGGCTCTAGAAACACATGGGGGCCTCTACTCTTCCCTTTTCTCCCCTGTTCCTGGTAGATTGGCAACACCTTTGAAGAGTGCAGCTTGGGCTACGCTCGGGGTGATGACAGTGTCTGTAACTGCCCCTCTGCACCCCACAGAGTCCCTAGCACAGGAGACCCCCGGGAGCCACCACAAAACCTGCTCTTGGCAAAGTCTCTCCCGAGTTTCCTCTCCTTCGCCTCCAGCCTGGTGGCCTACATCCATGGTCTCCCTCTTAGCTGGGCCCATCCAGACTGCCAGCCTATTGGATAGTCACCCAGGCTTTGGTATTCAGCTTCTCCCTAAGATGCTGTCTCTCAGGTCACCCCCTTGGCTCACCTCTTCACCCCATCCACCCCACCCTGAAAGTGATGCCTCGACTCCATGTCCAGACCTCACATCCAGATGGAAGGACTTGGGCCCCCCTTTGTCTGGGAAGAGGAATCTGACAAAGGGCCTGGCTTCTCCCTGCCCTACCCTCTACTCTTCCTCCTCTTTCACACTTGTACAGGAGAGAGCAGAAAG